CTAGGAGCAGTATAATTGATACATTTGCGAACAAATAATCTGTGTTTGTCGTGTAAACCGGAAAGCAGAACATGACGCTCGATTAGGCAGTTTGATTTTGACCTGGCATGTCCTTTGCCTGGCATGACCTTGAAATTGAATGGCTTTGACCCGTTATGAATTTAACCTTTGGCCTCTCCTACCATCATTTGGTACTCGGAAGAGCAGGAACAAAAATTTTCGTTTGATACCGAAACAAAGCTGCTCAGCCGACGCTATAGGACCCAGATTGCCCTGACTTAGCTGGAATATGTTCGTAGCATCTCGTTTTGGTCGTGACCTCTGAGGCGATATGACACTATCAGCTAGGTGACAAAGGTGAGCCCAATGATTCGTGCGTATGATTGGTCAGGGCTATCGACCGTCGTTTGAAGTTCTTTGATCCGACGATTAGATCCCGAAATACGCGGGGAAGGGGGTTAATTTTAAGCCCCCAGCCGGTGACGAGTGGCAAAATATGCCAGGCGGCGCAGGGTTCGCAGTTCATTGCATTCAAAACCTCACCAACAGGTTACTTAATGGAAAGCCATAGGTACTCGTAGAAGGAATAAATGCTGGCAGAAAAGTTCTGAAGTGAGGTTCCGAGTGGCGAAGCACTCCAGACGAAATGCCAATATCTTGAGAAGCTCAGTGATTTTCTTCCTTTTTCGTACTCCGGTTCCAAATCCTGTCCCTACAGGCGGCGATGTTTGATGCCACTTAGCGTTATCCCTCTCTTCTCCGCACATCCTTCTGAGACTGGGCCCAAACACGCGTGGCTCGTCTCAGACGGATATGTGGGCCGCTAAAAATTCCGATTGGGGTATGGCCGTCAGGCGCAATTAGAAAACAATTAGAGAACGTAGCTGACATAGCTAACGCAGCTAGAAACAGGGAACAGGTAAAACAGTCGCACCATCTTCAGCAATGAATGGCGCGCTGGAAACCGTAGCTGACGTCCATGGATCTTAACAAGTTATGAAGTGGCGCCGAACTGAACGGGCTCAACGCAATGCTCCGCCCTGTGCTGATGACACTGGTGATGTCCAAACAAAAGGACGCTCAGGGCTACGTAATGGTAACGCCCGCATCAGCTGCGCTCACGCCAGCAAGTTGGGCAAAACCGAACGACTGAGGTCTGAGGTCGGCGGTATGAGAGAGCGCGGCGCGACGAGCTGTCGCTTTCAAAAGGACCCCCACGTCGCTGAAACACACAACAGCGCAACACAATCTCCACATGAGTGCTAAGAAAACCGACCCGTGGACGGGTGTTGCTTACTTTATTGGTCACTTGACTACGTGACCCGTGAACTGAGACCGAGCTCAAGTAGTTCATCAACTGGGCAGGAGTCTTCGTCTGTCATTTCGAGGTCGGCGTCTGGGTCTGGCTTGAAGCAGCTGGCCAGTACAACCTCAGCTCGTAGCCGAAAAATACAGGAGGGCAGCTTTTCTTTGAACCACGACCATCTTAGTTGAATGACTATCGAAGGACATCATCTCCGTACACAAGGCAAATTTTCCGTGTGTGACGCACAATCCATTTCATGCTGCTGTTTCATATTCACCACTGCCATTGCACATCTTGGCCAGCTGGAGCAGACATCCCGCGGCTCCATCAGCAGCATCACCTTGAAGTGGACCTGGATCCGCAGCGCACTTTGAAGGGCGCAGCCCGCCTCTCTCGCTCGCTGGCTTGTTGGCGTAAGGTTCCGCCACACATGAAATGGTGGCCTTCAGTGCATTTACCGTTCGGTTGATCCAGCAGAGCAAGACAATCTTTGTACGCTCTGCTAACGTCTCACAGCTGATTGGAAAAGGGATTGTCTGCGGCCACAGGCTGAAAGCCTTGTAACCCGCTACGTGTCGACGGAAAAGCCCCATGAAGATATTCCGACACTGCGTCGTAAGTCATCCGACGATTTTGCCGGCGGCTTCGCACCGCGTCGTTGCAGACGTATTGAAGCGAAATACCCAGCCCGCGTACTTCAAGCAGAAATACCTCTCGGGGCGAAGTTTATGACGGCAGTTGCGGTGTGGTGGAGATGCAGATGGTCTGCCGAGTAGACCCTCAGCCAGGATTCGTCGCATCTGAGGATCGACCGGCGAGTCTGGCCGCGCGCAGGGCTGCATTAACTGATAGCTTGGCAACGCAAACAACGCGTCAGCGTCACGCAAGCCTGTTTTGGCTGCCGGACCCTGAACTGGTCGGGAGGGCGGGCTTTCGCCGCCGGACGGCAACCACAGACAGCAGCCACACGACAGCAGCCACACGACAGCAGCCACCAACAGCAGCTGAGTGATGGGAGCTGGAGACAGCACCCACACGACGACGGCTATAGCGCTAGCCTCGTGAGGGCGCAGGTGATAGTCGACATTCCTCGGAATCCTGGGTCCTGGGAGTGAACTAAGGTGTGCGCGACGCAATGTACAAGTTTTTAACAGAAATGTTGTCGATATTCCCGGTCCGGTCACGTTTACTGTACTTGCCAGATTTTTTTTTGGCGCCAGGTGAGTACTAAAATGAATCCTGATGAAGCTTGTCTTGCTGGCAGGGGCAGCAAAAGCATTAAATACATTCACTTAGCGCTGAGCTGGAGTCTCATTGCATTACCTAATGTTAACGTCCATTAACCTACTTAACGCACAAACGTCGTAAGGTGGCGTGTAAACCGAGCTGTTGACTATGACTGCAGAGTTTATACTGCCTAATAAAGCTATGCTAAAGGTTACATCTCACAACTCTGCCCCCTTGCTGCACGGGCCGTGTACCCAGGAACCCCGCTTAAGACGTCACAAATGGGTCCATATGTTGGCGTGACATGCGGCGGCTGCTGCTGCTGCTGTGACGGCTGTGCGGCGGCTGCTGGTGGTCGAGCGGGATTTGTCGGCGGCTGTTGGTGGCCGGGCGGGATTTGTTAGCGGCGGTTGGTGGCCGAGCAGAAGTTGTCAGCGTCGTCGATCCCGGCACCAATCATTGTGTGCGCTCCTACACGACGGAAGCCGGTGCTCAGCGGTGGCACGTGCCGGCCAACTGCCAGCCCGGCCCCAGCCCCGACCAACTACCAGCAACCTGCCAGCCCAGCACCAATCACTGAGTGCGCTCCTTCACCACGGGAGCCGGTGTTCAGCGACGGCGCGTGCCGGGCAACTGCCAGCCACGGCCGGCACCAATCACTGAGTGCGCTCCTGCACCACGGGAGCCGGTGCTCAGCGGCGGCACGGGCCGGCCAACTGCCAGCCCCGGCCCCAGCCCCGGCCAACTGCCAGCCCGTGGGCCCGGCGGTTGGCCGGGGCGGGCCACGTACGTGACGTGCAGCTCGCAAGTGTTGCAGTCGCACGTAGGTCACGGGTGACCTTGTGGCAAGTTTGGCAGCGGCCAGGTCAAGTTCTCCCGGAGTGATCATACTGCGGGCTTTCTACTTTGAAAGAGGCTCACTCAGGCAGCTTCACCATGCGCATTTCTCTCGTCATTTCCCGTCGTGCCTGGCACCCTTCGGCCAGTAATCGTGTCGTCGGATGAATTTCACACAGACCGGTCGACATATTTTTGTTGGTGTGAAAGGTGCAGCTGACCAGAAGGCTTTCTTCTGGTTCATTCTTGTTTATGCCTGGTGTTTGCGGCAATCGCTGTGAAACTTCGAATGACTCGTTTTTCCAAAAGTTTAAGCAAGTCAGGAAGAGACTTCAGACCGGGTTTGTGCTTCTTTCCTCCGGTGTGTTAACTACTTATCAACTTGTGTGCCTTTGCAGACGAAAAACATCACATGCTGCCATCGGGAGAGCTGATAGTGCGTGACGTCACGGAGGATGACGTCAGCAGGCGATACATCTGCCGCACGGTGCACATGATGACGGACCAGCACGTGGTCAGCCGTCAACCAGCAACCATCACTGTTGACGGTACGTAATGAGGACGATCGCTCAAATGTATGTGTACAGTATCTACGCACGCATAGGGTGCATATTCGTGCGTCCGCTTGTGAATACCATCATGTATATGCATATACATGATCGTACACATACGATCATGATGTATAATATAAAGCGTACTAAAACGCTTATGATACATATATAATCGAACCATGTCCTGCCGCATACATCGGCACATCCATCATTATGCCGGATAAGATCTATTTTTTGTTTCGAAATCGGTGGGGAAAGAATTGCACCGAGTGAAATCCCTCGCTTGCCTTGGTCATTTCCTGCTTGTCTTCGCTGTTCGCACCAGGATCCCGGGTACAAAACATTTAGGACTCCCAGCCTTTTCCTGCCCCGCAGACCTTGCTTCATCCGCCCATGTCGACCCCCGGCACGATCGCAGTTAACCGCTCATCCCGCCCCCAGATGGCCCCAATTGGGCTGCAGCTCAATGGCCCCGACTTGGGGACGGGGCGTGAAAAAGCCACCCCATTGCCTGCCTGATATTTCCCAATAATGAAATAATCTGGAGATTTATGCGCAGCGTCCTGCCGGTCCCGTCATACAGCGAGCTTGTCAGACGGAGCTGTGATGACTGGATAACTCGGGGGAGTGGTGGACGGGAGATTGGTAGGGGAGATGTTCTTTCCCAATCTCCGTCCGTTATGCATCTCTCATGGCGTCCTCGATCCTGGTGGAGGCTGCTGCTCATCGTGCCTTCGCCTTTGGCATGCAGATGCAGATGTAGCTGTTGAGTGTCTTTTTTACTCTCAGTTTTGAGGTATTCTGAGAACTGCTCTGCTGTTATTTCGGTCGCACCAGCAATTATCCTTCCTTTATAGCTGAAGTTATATAGTTGTCAGTTATGTCGTTCCATGCGTCTGTCGTTGTAACTCCATTTGGATGGGCGGTGAACTGATCGTCGCTCAATTGCAGGGCCGCGTGCACCATCCAGTCCGCCGCGCATATCGGCGTCCTCCGCGGCCCAGCAGGTCAGGACGGGGGAGGAGGTCGCGCTCTTCTGCATCGGCCACGCCGCCGAGGCACCGCCCAACATCAGGTGGGTACCAGCAGGTGGGGACGGGGGAGGAGGTCGCGCTCTTCTGCATCGGCCACGTCGCCAAGGCACCGCCCAACATCAGGTGGGTACAAGCAGGTGGGGACGGGGGAGGAGGTCGCGCTCTTCTGTATCGGCCGTGCCGCCCAGGCACCGCCCAACATCAGGTGGGTACCAGCAGGTCAGGACGGGGGAGGAGGTCGCGCTGTTCTGCATCAGCCACACGGCCCAAGGCACCGTCCAACGTCAGATGGGTCTCCCACCCAGCAGGCCAACGCAGGCAGGACGAGGACAAGACTGCCTTGCATTGTCTGGTACAGTTTCTGCTCACATTTGCACTGTTAAGGCTGTTGGTTGCAGAGAAGAGTGCTGTAGACTATGTCTTGGATTATGCTGAAATTTTAAAAACTTTCGTCTCCCTTGCCTGATGAATGCTTAGCTGAAAAGTATGATACATGCAGAAGTGTCACGTGTGGCCAATAACAAAAACAAAAAACAAACTGTAAACTTGAGCAAGAATGCGGTGCATTGACATGATTCATATAACACATGTGTTTTCCAGTGCAGTGCAGTCGCACGCGTTTGGTAGTGGGCGTCATATCAGAAATAAAACAGACAAAGGAAATGCACCACGGCTCTGCCCTACTGAGTCGACCGATGGCAGCAGCCTCAGATGGCATATTGATCAAACATCCCCCGAGCGAAATGTATGCGTTGCTATGATACGCCCGAAAAGTGCAGTATATGAAGCGATTCAATGCCGCCCGAGTGAGCAGAACACCATTGAACTCCAATAACCCGAGATAAATGTGCAGCGATCGTCACAACAGCAGCTATAAATCAGGACGCAGGCGGAAATTCCGAACCGCATCACGACGCCGGCGAACTCAGCGGGCAGTAATGACGGCGCGCTTGTGGTGCGGACGCGGCCTCTCCAGAGCCGGCGGGTGGCCGACCGCTCCCGCGCGCTCATCGACGCCCCGCGCCATCCGCCGACCGCCCCGCGCCATCCCGCACATAAAGCGACGCTCCTGGCGCATGGGCGGCGAACTCGGCGCAGCAGCTGGCGAAGCGTGCACCGTCGCGGAGCTCCCAGCTGGCTGAGGGCATTGGCCATTTCTGCTAGGGAATTCGGCTCAGCTGAGCTCTTGGGTATTTTCTGAGGCATGCCTTCGCCGCTTCGCGGGAGACATTCCATCCCATAATTCTTTAGGACATGCTGGGCCGGACGTGAAAAATGGCGTGTACTTGCTTTTAAACCGCTTCATTTTCCAAGGTTTGGACACGATTGCTCACAGCTAATGTGCCGGGTGCTGACAGCCTCCAAACATTGCGCTGGTGCAACACGGGCACCGCTCGAAGGGGAGGGGGGGGGGGGGGGGTGAAGCCAGTTCTGAATCGAACACAGTGTCGTGCTCCGGATCAGCATGAAAACGGGCATTATGTCCTGAATCTTGATTGGCGTAATGTTTCACATTAAGGACAAAAGCCTTTTCCCAGAGAGATTACTAGGCGGATGTTTCAATGTTGGCGGGAATATAATGTAAAACGAGGTAGCAACAGCTCCGGCAGAGCTGCCCTCTGATAACGGGTCGCTGGAGATGGCACAGCTCCGGCAGAGCTGCCCTCTGATAACTGGTCGCTGGACATGGCATCATAAGCCTGTGTTCAATAGCTGAAGGAGAGACTCTGTCAAGAACATATCACGATGTTTTCTGTATGGTTCCTTGAGTAGCCTGGCGGTTTGTAAAGTAAGGCATTACCAGACGCTGGCCCTGGGCCATTGCTAGAAGCTCCTGTGAAAAATTGCCAAACCTGTGTTAACCGCATCATCGACATCAAACGGCATTATTGGTTTTATACTTGCCACCGCTGCTGCTGGTGGCACGCACTCAGTCGTGGAAACCAAAAGCCAATTCGATGTCATTAAATTAAAAATGTACTGTTTTCAACAGACAGCAAATAATTTGTGTTATGTCACATTTTCTTCTGCCATTTTGAAGCCCACCTTGTTTGATGTGCATATTGTTACCACGGACACTGTAATGAGAAGCTGTGTAGGACCATTTGCAGATATGCCGCCGTGATAGCTCATGGCGAAACTGGTATCCACCAATTCCATGTGTCCCAGTGCTGGCGCGGTTTGCAAGCGCTCTCACAGGGGACCATAGATGACGCACTCAGTGTGTTTCCATCCACATGTGTCGCTTTTTAAAATGGGATCGGTGCTGAACCAATGCCCGATTTATCCCGCATTTCAGCCAATTTGATTTGCGTTTTCGACGTCAAAATGAAGAACGTTTTAGTATTCGATCAAATCCATAATTGCCGGTACTCTGGGAATTACTTCCCATTTGAAGCCGATGTGGAGCTGCATCCTTGTAAAAGCCCTAGGATGGTTTGTAATTCAAACAATAATCGTCCTGAATCAATGGCTGTTGTTTCAACGAAAACTATTGTTTCCGTTTTCTCAAGATGACCCGAAGCGCAAAAATAGTGATGTTATCCAGCATTGCGTGACCTAACACATACCGACAAGACACCCATGCAACTCGGATACACTAACACTGGCAGGATGTACCGGCAGGGTGAAGTAAAAATGAAATATATGAACTTTTCAACGGAAATGTAATAATTGAAAGGACATGTACGATAAAGGGTGATGACTGCACAAATCCAGTGACCGTTTGAAAAAAACGCAACTGGCGCTTCGACGCGGCCAGTGACTGTAGCTGCCAACCAGGTGACGTCAGAGAGCTGGCGAGCCGTGTCGAGCAGTGCGGCAAGTTAAGCTTTCGCCGCAAAATACTGCCGTTGGCCCGAAATTTTAAGATTGCGTGATGGCGCCAGGGCTCAAGCATCAAGCATTGCCTAGCGTGGACGCTCATCCCAGAAACGCTTCGAGGTCAAGCGCTTGAACTGAATCCTAAAGAAATAGTGTTCATCCACAACATAAAGCATTTCAATTTGGCAAATACCGAGGCTTTTAAGAAAGCAGTCCTTACGTCGCAACTGTGTAAAGCGGTGTGCGTATCGTATGATCGCCAGTCGTGTGAACGTAATGATCCTAAACGTACGAACGGATGCTCGAAACACTGAATGAGGTCTCCCAATTGTGTCATAAAATTATAAAGATGAAAGAATTAGACCGTCTCTGTGTGCAGCTACCTTTTAAACACGGTGACCCAGTTACAAGCGAACGTCTTATTCAACTGTCACAAATGTATTCCTCGCACAACCATGACTGCATGGAAATTTGAGCGCCTCTTCAATGGTGAACCATGACAATAACCATGGCGGTTATCAGTTACCTCAAGTTCATAAAATCGTGACTCCACAGCACATGCTTTGAGGACGAGAAGAGGGATCCTGTAAACACCTCCTGAGCGCGCCTACATCGCTACCGCTCCGATATTATCCTGGGCGACTCGGGGGTGACAATCAGCTGTGGGATTGATCCAGGCGAGGAGCGGCACCAGCAGGCCGAAGTGACAGCGCACATGGCACGGGCTTCACAGGATTGGTTGGGGGAGCATTTTTTAGAATGCGTACCAGCTTAAGGGAAACAACTTCACATTTGAATATATTAAAGCATCAGGCGTGATGAAACAAATTCACTTGTAACAATTGGTATACTTTTTAATAAAAAACTGCTCCAGACAGCATAATGCTCTGTTTTAGCAGATACGCTTCTCAATGCGTCACGGTTTGACTACGTCATCGTTCCTGGCAAAACACTGATCGAGAGCCAACTGACGGCCGTTATGTCTGGAAATCGCGCTCACGAACGCCAGACGTGAACGCCTCGACAATTATATATTGCCTTACCTTGATCGCCACATGGCGTATGAAATGGCTGACTTTGAATGATGTTGTTTTAACGTCATGAACACCAAGGTGACTTTGAAATGCTCTCCCCGATAAACTTTCCCCATTTTCGCGGGTGTGCAGCTCAGACACTAAAAGGGCAGGTCTTAAGGCAGGCAGGATTGTGAACGGCACCGAACGCTATTCAAAATAGCTATTTCAGTTCAAAATCCCAAATAAATGTGGAACACTCCTTTCACGACAGCCGTGGAGTGGCTTGGCATTCCCTGACCTATCGCCACTGGATAGGTGTAGGTGTAGGGTGGTGTAGGTGTGGATGTAGGTGTGGGTGTAGGTATAGGTGTACACCACTTCATGGTGTAGAGTAGCCTAGAGAACTATGTCCACGTGTTTAAGCCAGTGAACATTCAAGAGATTAAGACCGCCTGGAGACTCGAGATTGGGCGCAGCGCAGTCGACAAGCCCATCAGGACAGCCGAATAGGTTCAGCTGTCGCGCATCTTGGACCGTCAGGGGGCAATCTGGAACATCTTTTGTAGTCATCATTTAAGAGACATGGAATATCTGACCAACGATGTTGCTGCTAGTGTTTTGTCATTGAGTTGGTAGTCAGATGTCACCATAATTATCGTTACGCGACAAATACAATTCCAATTGTTGAGAAAAATGTTGGTTAACTTTTAATTGGAGCACCCTGTGCTGAACGCGCACCCGGGTGGCCGGTTGCATACCCTTCACTCGCGTGAGAGTGAATTTTGCCCAGCAGAGGTCTCAGGAACTAAGGAAGTTAGAGACACCAAATTCATGAGGTGTGTTGATCTGTACGTAAACTCCTTTGGATCTAAATTTCAGGTTCCTAGGTCTGGTCTTTGGGTCAAATAAGGTCAAACAATGTCCAACACCAGGTTGGTCTCTAAAGGGCCCACGGAACCTATATACCTGCCCTAAGCAAAAGTTCACACGCTCATTCACGGCCAGTTATCTTGTTTGACCTCTTGAAGGTCATGGAGACTAAAAGCATACAAGACTGCTTTGAGTCTTGCATTTGGATAAGCGACAAAGATTACGCCAGGCAGATTACACATGTTCCTGTGAACAAAATGTTGACCTGGGTCAATTCAGGTCAGTGACCTGTTCTGACCTTTAAGAAGTTAATGAACGATGTACAATGCGGTTCTT